CTGGGCTCTGGCAATCCTTCCACCTCAGCCTTCCAAGTAGCTGGAACTACAGGCGCGCGCTACCACATCCGGCTCATTTTTGATTTATTGTAGAGACGAGGTCTCGCCAGGTTGCCCAGGTGGGTCTCGAACCCGCGGGCTCAGGCAATCCACTCACCTCAGCCTCCCAAAGTGCTGGGATTTACAGGCTGAGCCATCAAGCCCAGCCTCTTTTTTTTTTTTTTTGAGTTGGGGTCTCACTCTGTTACCCAGGCTGGAGAGCAATAGCACAATCACAGCTCTCCACAACCTCGATCTCCTGGGCTCAGGCGATCCTTCCACCCCAGCCTCCCAGGTTGCTGAGACTAGAGGCACATACCACCATGCCCGGTTAATTTTTTTATTTATGTAGACACAAGGTCTCGCTATGTTACCTAGGCTGGTCCCCAACTACTAGGCTCAAGAGATCCTCTTCCTCAGCCTCCCAAAGTGCTGGGATTACAGGCATGAGCCACCACACCAAGCCCTAAGCATTTATAACAGAAGTAGACACAGATATTTACCATAAGGTCTAGAAACAGGTGGACACTGATGCATAATAAAAGTACAATAAACACGTTCTTTAAAATGGATCTCTTTTAACCAAAGTTTGCTCTTTTTCCAAACTTAGTATTTACTCTCAGAAATAAATGAGCTACAGTTATCCTGAGATTTTTTATGAGCATGAAATGTGTTTTATAAATCCAATAGTCAGCATCATAATATTCTGTCTCTTTACTACTGACCACATGGATTAAAAAACCTGGATTACAGGAATTTCTGCTCAATGGTCACCTACATACCTTCTGCACTGGAATCCAGACTGAAGTCCTGACTCTGTAATATTTTCTCCACAATGTCATCTGCATCCACTCTGGTGTCATCAACTCGCTTCAGCTGAGATTCTACAGAATCTTGTTTCACTGGGCATCTTTGAAAAGAATTAAATTATTTCCCCCTTTTTATTAATTACATTGTGAAAACAAAGGTTTTTTTAAAGTTTAAATTTATCCTTTAAACTAAAAGGATACCTGTTGACTTTTTCTGAAGCCGTGTCTTCTTTATCAGCCGTATCAAGATTTGGCTCTGTGATTTTTTGCTCCATTTCATCACATGGCTCGAGAATACTCTCAACCCCTGTTGAGGTGCTTCCCACTGAGGTATTTCTCCTGTGGCAGAGCTCAGAGAAACTAGATGACCGGGAGTGACAGGTGCTATAACCTGTCAGAGAAGATCACCTTAGATACAATACTAATGTCAAACACACTGTGATCTCACAGAGAAGGTCACCTTGGATACAATACTAATGTCAAACACACTGCAATCACACAGAGAAGGTCACCTTAGATACAATACTAATGTCAAATACACTGTGATCTCACAGAGAAGGTCACCTCGGATACGAAACTAAGATCACCTAGGATACGATACTAATGTCAAACACACTGTGATCAAACAGAGAAGGTCACCTCGGATATGATTCTAATGTTAAACATACTATGATCACACAGAGGTCACCTCAGATATGATATTAATGTCAAACACACTGTGATCTCACAGAGAAGATCATCTCAGATACAATACTAATGCCAAACATACTGTGATCACACAGAGAAGGTCACCTCGGATACGATATTAATGTCAAACACATTGCAATCACACAGAGAAGGTCACCTTGGATATGACACTAACGTCAAACACGCTGTGATCTCACAGAGAAGATGACCTCAGATACAATACTAAAGTCAAACACATTGCAATCACACAGAGAAGGTCACCTCGGATATGATACAAATGTCAAACACACTGCAATCTCACAGAGAAAGTCACCTCAGATATGATACTAATGTCAAACACACTGCGATCACACAGAGGTGAGTCACCTTGGATACGATACTAATGTCAAACACACTGGGATCTCACAATGAAGGTTACCTTGGATATGATACTAATGTCAAACACACAGCGATCTCACAGAGAAAGTCACCTCAGATATGATACTAATAGCAAACACACTGTGATCGCACATTGATGGTCACCTCAGATACGATACTAATGTCAAACACACTGCAATCACACAGAAGTCACCTCGGATATTGATACTAATGTCAAACACACTGTGATCTCACAGAGGTCACCTTGGATATGATACTAATGTCAAACACACTATGATCACACAGAGAAGGCCACCCTAGATACTATTCTTATGTCAAACATACTGCAATCTCACAGAGACAGTCACCTCGGATACAACACTAATGCCAAACACACTGTGATCTCACAGAGAAGATCACACTTTCCCACACCATCACAGCTTCAAGTCCCTCTAGAACAACAAGGAATACAATTTCATGTTAGCCTCTACCTGACACTTTTGACTGCTGGCTTGCATAGCTTGATGTTCTAGAATGCCCACAGGCACCAAGTTCATCTGGAACGGAGGCACTCTTTGTGGAAAGATCTGCAAAATGTCATAACATATTACTATTAATGCCAACACATTAACGGCTCGTTTGTATTCTAATCTGTATTCTAATTTTTTTGTTTTTGTTTTTTGAGTTGGAGTCTCACTCTGTCGCCCCGGCTGGAGTGCAGTAGCACACTCACGGCCACCGCAGCCTTGACCTGCTGGACTCAGGTGAACCTTCCGCCTCAGCCTTCCAAGTAGCTGGAACTACAGGCATGTGCTACCATGCTTGGCTAATTTTTACTTATTTATTTATTGCAGAGATGAGGTCTCACCAAGTTGCCCAGGCTGGTTTTGAACCCGTGGGCTCAGGCAATCCTCTCACCTCGACCTCCCAAAGTGTTGGGATTATAGGCCACCACGCCCAGTTGTATTCTAATTTTAAAAACTCTGCCAAGTTCATTATCAAGAAAAATAAGTTATGGCTGGGTGTGGTGATTCATACCTGTAATAACAGCACTTTGGGAGGCTAAGGCAGGAGGTTTGCCAGAAACTTGAGACCAGCCTAGGCAACATAGAGAGTTTTCATCTCTACAAAAAATTTAAAAATTAGCCAAGTATGGTGACATGTGTCTATAGTCCCTGCTTCTCGGGAAGCTGATGCAGGAAGATTGCCCGAGCCCTGGAGATGGAGGATCTGAGCCATGATCATACCACTGCACTCCAGCCTGGATGACAGAGTGAGACCCTAATTAAAAAAAAAAAAAAAAAAAGTAAAGCGATAGACATCTTTTTAAATCAGAACAAATGGAAACAACTGCATTGAAAAGAAATACAAACTACTTAAATACTTTAGTTCAGCTGGGCTCGGTGGCTCAGCCTGTAATCCTGTGCTTTGGAAGGCTGAGGTGAGTGGATTGTCTGAGCCTGCAGGTTCGAGATCCACCTGGGCAGCCTGGCAAGACCTCATGTCTACAATAAACCAAAAAATCAGCTGGGCATGGTAGCGCGTGCCTGTAATTTCGGCTACTCGGAAGGCTAAGGTGGAAGGATCGCCGGAGCCCAGTGGGTCGAGGCTGCGGGGGCGACAGAGTGAGACTCCAACTCAAAAAAACAAAAAAAACAAACAAAACAAAAAACTTTAGTTCACTGAAGAATTATAATATTTTTTGTAACATTTAGCGGCCGGGCTCGGTGGCTCAGCCTGTAATCCCATGCCTTTGGGAGGCTGAGGTGAATGGATTGCCTGAGCCCGCGGGTTCGAGACCCGCCTGGGCAGGGACACCTCATCTCTACAATAAATCAAAAAATCAGCCGGGCGTGGTAGCGCTTGCCTGTAATTCCGGCTACGCGGAAGGCTGAGGCGGAAGGATCGCCGGAGCCCAGCAGGTCGAGGCTGCGGTGGCCGGCAGTGGCCACTGCACTCCAGTCTGGGCGACAGTGAGACTCCAACTCAAAAAACAAAACAAAACAAAACAAAAAAAACATTTAGCAGCAGCATCTTAAAACTACTACAGTTTTTGTGTCTGGCATTTTTCTATTAAAAATAAGACAGGTGTATTCTTATAAATTCTCATAAAATTGCTAGGTTTTAGTGTGGTTTCTGAGGAAATACTGCTTCCTCAAAAATCCATCACAGGAGGAAAATGAAAGAGCATGTTATGACTTTAAAGTCAGTGTTGCTAGTCTAGGTTGTAATTTGGGCAATGATTGTGGCTTACATCAACACAGCAGGGACTGCAGCCCTGGGAGTAAAAGTTCTTAGGAAACTGATTACAGTATTGAGTTTCAAAGTGAATGTACAAAAAGCAGTGTCGAGGCCAATTTTAGGAGCCCCCTGATCACATGCATATTCCAGGTACCTCTGACGTATTTCCAGAACCAGGCTTCCTCCCACAAAATGTAGAACTGTGACCACTTTCCTTAGGGTGAAATGTTTGGAAACTGGAACAGTTTTTAACTTAGAAGCAGAAGGAAAGCAATTTTTTTTTTTGAGTCAGAGTCTCACTCTGTCACCCAGGCTGAAGTGCAGTGGCACACTCATGGCCACTGCAGCCTCAACCTGCTGGACTCAGGTGATCCTTCTGCTTTGGCCTTCTATGTAGCTGGCACTACAGGCATGTGCCACCATGCCCGGCTAATTTTTTAATTTATTGTAGAGAGGAGGGCTCACCAAGTTGCCCAGACTGGTCTCAAACCCATGGGCTCAGGCAATCCTCTAACCTTCGCCTCCTAAAGTGCTGGGATGACAGGTGTGAGCCACTGCGCCCGGCTAGGAGGAAAGCAATTGAGTCAAACAGCGATCAGAGTAGCAGTTCTATAAATGATATTAAATGCAGCTGGCCTAACCAATGCTGCCTAATGAGTGAGCTATGGTGAGTGGTCCTTCTTCAAAGGCTTCTCATTTCCAGACATCTGTGAGTATCTGAGCATCTCTACAGCGGTCCTCATCTCAAAGGAAGCTCCCACGACATCTGAACTCAGAGTTGGTGCATCCTGAGAACTATATAGTCCTAACCCTCCTTTTGGCTCAGATCTTAAGTCATTCATAAATCTTATGGTTCTCCTCTTTTTTTATTTTTGAGTTCAGGTCTCACTCTGTCACCTAGGCTGGAGACAAGGTCTCGCTTTGTTGTCCAGGCTGGTCTCGAACTCCTTGGCACAAGGAATCCTCCTGCTTGAGCCTCCCAAAGTGCTGGGGTGATAGGCATGAGCCACCGTGCCTGGCCATTTTTGTTTATTTTTTCAACATGAGAAAGAATAAATGCTGAAGGGAAGGAACTAATGGTTAAACATACTCAAAGAATTCAGTGATCCTAAATCAGGAAATTTTGAGGTCAGCATTATCTGTACAAAACCACGTACTGGCACATGGGGAAAGGTGGTGAGGGTGTGACTTACGTCACTTCACTTTTCTTTCCATTTTCCCCAACAACACATCCTGCTCACATAACGTGGGAGGCAGAAGGAAGCTCCTAGGCCCTTTCCCTCCAGCTCACTTGACGTTTTCCCCACCCGGCTTTTAGTCCTGGCAGAGATTCCAACTCCTGCTGGAAGTCGGCCTGGAAAAGCACATCTCAAGGTGTGGTCGGGGAGCCCCTTCGTGATGCAGCATTTCAGGCCCTAGCCCAGATCTACGGAATCAAACACTCTGGCCTCTGCCAGCGACCTGTGTTTTAACACGCCCTGCAGGTGACTGTGATGTACACTGAGGCGTAAGAACCACTGATCAAGTATTCGTGGAAGAGAAGCCACCATGAGAGGGACTGGCAGCAGCTGCTGGGTCCCTAGAATGGGAGAAACCCTGCAGTTACCCTGGACAGTAAACACATACGTGGGGGATATCACCGCAACATTTCATTTTTAATCTGCTAGTGTATGATACTTTAAAGCATTGGCTTAGGTAAGAATTGTGTCATTAAAAATTCGCTGGTACTTACTGGACCATTTCAAGTCATATACTCATAACATTTTATTTTTATTTTATTTTATTTATTTATTTATTTTTGAGTTGGAGTCTCACTCTGTCGCCCAGACTGGAGTACAGTGGCCGCTCCTGGCCACCACAGCCTCGACCTGCTGGGCTCCAGCGATCCTTCTGCCTCAGCCTTCCAAGCAGCCGGAATTACAGGCATACGCTACCACGCCAGGCTGATTTTTTGATTTATTGTGGAGATGAGGTCTTGCTGCCCAGGCGGGTCTCGAACCCGCGGGCTCAGGCAATCCACTCACCTCAGCCTCCCAAAGGCGCGGGATTACAGGCTGAGCCACCGAGCCCGGCTTATTTTATTTTTTGAGTCAGGGTCTCACTCTGTCACCCAGGAAGGAGTGTAGTGGTGCAATCACGGCTCGCCATAGCCTCATTTCCTGGGCTCAGGAGATCCTCCTGGCTTAGCCTCCTGAGTAGGTGGGACTACAGGTGCATGCCACCACATCTGGTTAATTTTTAATTTTTTGTAGAGACGAGGTCTCACTATGTTGCTCAGGCTGATCTCAAACTCCTGGGCTCAGGCGATCCTCTTGCCTTAGCCTCTTTCTTTGCGTCAGTCTCATTCTGTTGCCCAGGCTAGAACGCAGTGGCACGCTCAGGGCCGCTGCAGCCTCGACCTGCAGGGTTCAGGTGATCCTACCACCTCAGCCTTCCAGGTAGCTGGAACTATAGGTGAGTGCCACCAAGCTCGGCTTATTTTTTTGACTTACTGTAGAGATGAGGTCTTGCCAAGTTGCCCAGGCTGGTCTCGACCTGTGGCCTCAGGCAATCCTCTCGCCTCGACCTCCCAAAGTGCTGGGATTACAAGCTTCAGCCACTGCACCCGGCCTTGCCTTAGACTCCCAAAGTACTGGGATTACAGACATGAGCCACTGCACAAGGCTTCATATACATGTAACATTTTAAATATGGAAGAGCTTTGGGAATCTTTTAGGACATTAAGTAGGACTGTTGCTCACACACTAAAAACCCAGGGGGCTCCATGTCCATACCTGCAATTCCAAGATGAACCTTGAGGGTCTCTCCACCTTTTCTATCTTCTTGCAGAGATTCAGATTCCCCAGCAATTGGGATAGACATGGATGTGGAGGGAGGCCTGGAAATCAACATGCTAAGGATCAGAACTTGACTTATACGTGAGCCTGAACGTTAAAAGTATGGTTAGATGCTGGTGAAGATGCAAGCCTTAGCATGAGCTGTCTAGTAGTGTTACCCCCTGAAACTTAAAGTCATAAAAATCAACAAATAGCGGGTAAGCATCTTTTCAAAACCTCAGTAAGACTCATGAGGAGAAAAGGCTTTTTACACAGCAAAAAAGATGAGACCAGAGAGGGCACTGCCTCCACGGAGTCCTGAAAGGAGAGGACTGTGTCGTGTGTACCCAGTACTGATCAATGCAGGAGGGCTTCGGCTGTCAGGTCAACTCAGGAAGGCGTCTGTTGAGTTGTGGAGGAAAGCACTGAGGCCCTCTGTGTCCGAGGTTGAGAGGGGAATACCTCCTGCCTCCTGCTTCAGGGTCTTTTCTCTTGCTGGCTCCACCAACTTCTTTTTTTCAGTTGGGGTCTCACTCTGCCGCCCAGGCTGGAGTACAGTGGCAAGATCACAGCTCACTGCAGCCTCGACTCCTGGGCTCAGGCGATCCTTCCAAATCAGACTGCCCAGTAGCTAGGACTACAGGTGCGCATCACCACACCTGGTCAATTTTTAAAATTTTTTGTAGAGATGAAGTCTCACTATGTTGCCCTGGCTGGTCTTGAACTCCTGGGCTCAAGCAATCCTCCCACGTTGGCCTCCCAAAGTGCTGGGATTACAGGCGTGAGCCACTGTGCCTGGCCCATATACTCTTGTTTATTTACGATCATCTTTCTATTCGTTTTTTAACACAGTAAAACTCCTCATAAGAATTGTTTACACTGTCTCTGATTTTTCTCCTCCCAAACGCTCTTGAACCCACTCCAGAAGGCGTCTAAGAGCATTCTACTCAAGTGCCTGTCAAAGTCACCAATGGTCTCTGTATGACAAATCCTAAGGACAATTTGCAGTCTCCATCTTCCGAGAGCCACTTCAGTAGTGCGTGACGCAGGTGACCACTCCCTTCTGTGGAAACCCTTTCCCCATGTGGCTTCAGGACAGGACTTGCCTCCTTCCTTCTAGCTCACTGGCTGGTCCTTTGCTGATTCTTCTCTATCTTCTCAACTCGTGACATGCTGGAGGGCCCACACTGCAGTGTGGTCTTCCCTTTTCTTTGTTTATACTCTGTTCCTCTCATCATTTACTTATTATTCTTTTTTGAGTCAGAGTCTCACTCTGTCACCCAGGCTGGAGGCATGTTCACGGCCACCGCAGCCTCGACCTGCTGGGCTCAGGCGATCCTTCCTCTTCAGCCTTCTGAGTAGCTGGAATTGCAGGCATGCGCCCCCACGCCAGACGAATTTTTTGATTTATTGTAGAGACGAGGTCTTGCCATGTTGCCCAGGCTGGTCTCGAACCCGTAGGCTAAGGCAATCCATGCTCCCCAGCCTCCAAAAGTGCTGGGATTACAGGTGTGAGCCACCAGGCCCGGTTAACAAATACATTTCTACTACACTTTCAGATAAATATGGGCATCAACTTACGTTTTAAAACATGGGTCACCAGACATCAGCTGCATACTAATCAAAACCTAAACAGAAGAGCAAGAAATATCATGATTACAAAAAGATTTCTTGAGGGCAGAAGCCACGTCCTACTAAAGTACACTTCCTCCACAATACCTAGATCAATATTTTCTGTTTAGAGAGAACTAAATGAGATGATTGTTGAATTGGGTTATTTCCAATATAGATCAGTAGTCTCTAATCTTTGTGGCATCAGGGACCCGTTTTGTAAAAGACAATTTATCCATGTACAACTGGGGGGGGGATCATCAGGCATTAGATTCTCACAAGGCGGGTGCAACCTAGATCCCTTGTATGTGCAGTTCACAATAGGGTCCACGCTCCTATGAGAATCTAGTGCCGCCACTGATCTGACAGCAGATGGAGCTCCGCTCACCCGCCATTCATCTGCTGCGCGGCCTGGTTTCTAACAGGCTGTGGACTGGTACTATTTAAAATCATTACAATTTTAAAAATCATTTTTTAAAATTCATTTCCAACATTCAAAACTGGTAACTGTAAAAATGGGGGTGGAGATGATGTAAACAAAAAGCAATAACAATGATTGACCAGTCAGACTCCTCCTGGTGTGTGGCTGTGCTCATTTAATCTGTCTTCACCCCCAAAGTCCCATGGTGCCTAAGTGTCTAGACATGTTTTCCTCTGACTTGCCATGTTGATGCTTTTAAGGGGTGTCTGCTGGGGGCTTCTCAGAGTAGAAAGCTTCTGATCTTTGTTCCAGCCTTGGATTAATTTTTAACGTTTTTCTAATACTTTCTGAAATGCTGTTATTCTCTAGTTGCTGATGGCCTTTTTCTTTTCTTTTTTTTTTTTTTTTGAGTTGGAGTCTCACTCTGTCGCCCAGACTAGAGTGCAGTGGCCGCTGCCAGCCACCGCAGCCTCGACCTGCTGGGCTCTGGCGATCTTTCCGCCTCAACCTTCCAAGTAGCTGGAACTACAGGCGTGCGCTACCACGCCCAGCTAATTTTTAAATTTATTGTAGAGATGAAGTCTTGCCAAGTTGCCCAGGTGGGTCTCGAACCCACGAGCTCAGGCAATCCACTCACCTCAGCCTCCCAAGGCGCGGGATTATAGGCTGAGCAACAAAGCCCGGCTGCTGATGGCCTTTTAACAATCAGTCACAGGACCTTTGTATGTTCTTATGGGAATAATAGTAATGAGAACAGTAATAACAACAACATTAACAACAATCATGATTTGAGAATACATTATGTGTCAGGGATACACTGAGTGTTTAATATGCATTCTTTCCTTTGATCTTTAACCCTCCTAAAAGAGTGTGGCACTTTCATTTTAAGTCCAGGGAGATGAAGCATATTTTCAAAATTAGATCACTAGTAAGGAGCAGAGCTGAGATTTGAATCCAGGACTGCGTATACCAAAATCCATGGTCTCAGTGAGTACCAGGATATGTCTGTTACTCTGTGTTTTCCAGGTAATGGCTGGCATGGGTCTTACATAACCTTAAGTCACTCACATTATTTAATTATCCCAGTGGCTCCATGACTATTTTTTTCTTGTTTAAATGCCAAGCCTATCCTGCTGTGCCAATTTCCTCATCACCTCTTAAGTCTTTCTTTCCTTTTTTTTCCTCATTCCAAGTAGTGTGATGAAAAGCTCTTCTCTCATAGAACCCTGTGGTCTGCTTTCCAACTCCCTTTAAACAGCACTCCAGACCTCATCAACAAGAGTACCTGCATAATCAATGTTTGTATACCTAACCCTGAATTGTACCCCACATCTTTATAATAAAAATAAAAATAATAATAATAAAACAGCACTCTCTTATTTTTTAAAGTCAGAGTCTAGCTCTGTCACCCAGGCTGGAGTGCAGTGGCATGATCATGGCCCATCACAGCCTTGACCTCCTGGCCTCAGACAATCCTTCCACCTCAGCCTCCCAAGTAGCTGGGACTATAGGTGTGTGCCAACATACCTGGTTTATTAAAAAATTTTTTTTCTCAGTGGACATTATTGATAAGCCATTGCTTTGCTTGGTCAAACTTTGTATTTGCTGAACTGTCATTTTAATTGCTGTAAAACTGCGTTGTCTCTCCATTGAGCATGGTTAGAAAAGGGTTTCACTAACATTGCGATTCTTATAATAGGAAATGTTCTTGTGCTTTTTATGTATTTCTGCCTCATTTGGGTGTTTGTTGCTTCCCTCACACACCCAGCATGAGCATGTATATGTTATAGAAACGGTCTACTTTTATAAATAAGCTTTTTAAAAGAAAAGAAAAATTTTTTTTTTGTAAAGATGAGGTCTTGCTATGTTGGTCAGGCTGGTCTTGAATTCCTGGACTCAAACAAGTCCCGCGCCTCAGCCTCCCAAAGTGCTGGGATTACAGGTGTGAGCCACTGTGAATAGCCTGTACTCTTGAGTATCACGGACATCTCAGAAAAGGGGTGGAGATGGCATAGGGAGCATTTAGGAGATCGTGTAGTGAAACAGAACAGAGAAGTGAGACAGCGGTCAGAGGAGAGAAGAAGTTGGTTTTTATCTTTTTTTTTTTTTTTTTTGAGTCAGAGTCTCACTCTATCGCCCAGGCTGGAGTGCAGCGGCAAGCTCACGGCTATCGCAGCCTCGACCTGCTGGGCTCAGGTGATCCTTCCACCTCAGTCTTCCAAGTAGCTGGAACCACAGGCATGCACCACCACACCCGACTAATTAGGACTATTTTTTTTAAGAGTCAGGGTCTTGCTATGTTGCCCAAGCTGGTCTCAAACTCCCGATGGTAAGGAGACAGCAGAGATCAGGAAGGCAGAGAGTGTTACGGTGGAATGACATGGTCTTCAGAAGAGCTGTGTTCTTTGTGGAACCAAGTGGGAGAAATAGTGTGCAAGAATTACTGGGGAGCCAGAAGGAAACCACTCAGGAGCGGGCCCTAAGGAACATGAGTGTCTCAGATTAAAACGTTATTTCAATCTCAAAACCCTGTAACTCAGAGAAGGATTATCCATCTTCTTATGTAGGAAATATGAAGAAACAAGACCATGTACCAAGAAGCAGAAGACAGGCATTCGGGTCCCTGCTCTGCCATCAGCTACTTCTGTGCAACACATAACCTTCAGAGTCAGCTTCTTCATCTATAAAATGGGAATGACTATTGATTCCATCTGTCTAACCCATCCAGCTCATGGACAGATGGACAGGGGTTCTGCAAAATTTTCAGAGGTATAGAACCTTAAAAGTATCAAATCAGCTGGGTACAGTGGCTCATGCCTGTAATCCCCGCACTTTGGGAGGCGGAGGTGAGAGGATTGCCTGAGCCCAGGGGTTCGAGACCAGCCTGGGCAACTTGGCGAGACCTCATCTCCACAAAAAAAAAGTTGGGCATGGTGGCGCTTGCCTGTGGTTCCAACAACTAGATGGCTGAAGTGGAGGGATCACCTGAGCCCAGCCGGCGGAGGCTGCAGTGGCCATGAGCGTGTCACTGCACTCCTGCCTGGGTAACAGTGAGACTCTTACTCAAAAAAAAAAAAAAAAAAAAAGTATCAAATCAACACGGTTTATATCACAATGCTTTTCTAATTTCTTGTCCTCTTTCACCATTTCCCCCCCATCCCAACTACCCATCCCACCTTTCTTTATGGTTGCTAAATTTGTGCAAGTGATTAATTGACTATAATAACCATGTTAAGCATTTTCACAGCTTCAGAGTTTCATCTTTACTGAAATACAAAGGTTGAAAACTGCAGGTAAGAAGGTAATTATTTGTTCCACTAACTTTTGACCATCCAGTTTTTATTCAGAATTAATTCCTTTCTTCTTATTTGATAACTTACCAACACAGGGTAACCAGACTAAAACAGTGAAAAATGTATGCAGGGGGTTTTCCTAATAGTAGTGCAAAGTACTTTACAAATATTTTCTCAACTGATCCCACTTAATACTGCCATGAACTCTATGAAGCTTATATTCTCTCGTTACTAAAACACGCTCCTGATGGTACTTGGAAACATGCAGATGCTCAGAAGTGCGTTCCATCTGTCTCTTCTTTTTTTTTTTTTTTTTTTTTTTTTTTTGAGTTGGAGTCTCACTCTGTTGCCCAGGCTAGAGTACAGTGGCATGCTTCCGGCCATCGCAGCCTCGACCTGCTGGGCTCAGGCGATCCTTCCACCTCAGTCTCCCAAGTAGCTGGAACTATAGGTGCATGCTACCACGCCCAGCTAATTTTTTTTTTTTTTGAGTTGGAGTCTCACTCTGTTACCCAGACTGGAGTGCAGTGGTACGCTCCCAGCCACCGCAGCCTCGACCTGCCGGGCTCTAGCAATCCTTCCGCCTCAGCCTTCCAAGTAGTTGGAACTACAGGCGTGCGCTACCATACCTGGCTAATTTTTGATTGATTGTAGAGATGAGGTCCAAATTGCCCAGGTGGGTCTCGAACCCGGGGGCTCAGGCAATCCACTTGCCTCGGCCTCCCAAAGAGCTGGGATTACAGGCTTGAGCCACTGCGCCTGGCCCATCTGTCACATCTTTACAAGATAACCCAGTGACTTGTACTCATCACAGCTGTTCTTCAAGTCACCTTTTGGGAGCTATAAAACATTTCAAGGTATTCATTCACTTATCAAGCTCCTTCCTCCCTATGAGCTCTTACATTGCAGTGGTGTGTATATCCGTCTCTGAACGTTAAAAGCCCCAAAGAGAAACACCTTAGTGTCACGGAGGTGAGCATTTATTACTTTTCCCAGCTTCTGTGATTTGGAAAGGTTTTTTTCCTGATGGTGAATATTTTAGGGATGTGATCAGCTTTGATCTCAGAACTGATTCACTTCTTGTCCTTGACAACCTATACCTATGGTCATTTAAAGGCAGAGCATCTCATTTGTTGACAAATAAATCTTGAAATGTGCTTACTTTAAGGATAGAATTGTCCTGTCTTGTATTTTTGGTGTCATAGCCTTCCAGTAAACAGCGACGAGTGGTACTTCCTGATCCAGCAAACTCTGCCAGGTTTAGATCTGCAAAGCCCAGCTAAGAAAAGAAAGAGAATTCTATTAATAGGTCATCTAGTAGGCTTCTATCATACTCCCCTTAAAATAAACATTCTACCCATGTCCTAGACGAATCTTCTCCAGCTTCAGTCATTGGCAATTTTTCCGTCTTAATATACCTGTTCTATTATTTGCTTTATATGTGTCTTTAAATTGATTCACTTTATCTATCATCTAAACGTCTGTCTGTCTAGCTATCTGAGTCGGGGTCTCACTCTGTTGCTCAGGCTGGAGTGCCGTAGCATGATCACGGCTCACTGCAGCCTCGACTTCCTAGGCTCAGGTGATCTTCCACCTCATCCTCAAGAGCAGCTGAGACTACAGGCACACACCACCATGCCTGGCTAATTTTATTTTTTGTAGTGATGAAGTCTCACTGTGTTGCCCAGGTTGGTCTTGAGCTCCTGAGCTCAAGCAATCCTCCCATCTTGGCCTCTAAAAGTGCTGGGATTACCAGCATGAGCCACTGCACCCGGTCCACTTTTTATAAGGATTTATTACCTATTCTACTCTTGTCCTAAGCTATAAGGTATCTGAAATCACGGATTTGACATACTGAATATAATTTTTTTTTCTGAGTCAGAGTCTCACTCTGTCGCCCAGGCTGGAGTACAGTGGGATGCTACTCACAGCCACCACAGCCTCGACCTGCTGGGCTCAGGCAATCCTTCCGCCTCAGCCTTCCAAGTAGCTGGAATTACAGGCATGCGCCACCATGCCCAGCTAATGTTTTGATTTTACTGTAGAGACGAGGTCTCACCATGTTGCCCAGGCTGGTCTCTAACCCATGGGCTCAAGCAATCCTCTTGCCTCAGTCTCTTAAAAGGCTGGGATTATAGGCATAAGCCACCATACCCAGCTAAATATAATTTTTCTGTACACAATAAGATAAATATGTTGCTGTTAAATTAAAGTAAAAATAATGTATACCAAACAACTAAAATAATCACAAGTAGCAGCGATGCTTACACCATACTATGGAAAACATCAGCTGATCAACTAGGACCATTTGCGAACACACAGAGAAGAATGATCAGATGCCCCATTCGAGCTCTGGCTCTCTGCTGAGTTGGCCCCTGGCGACTGCAGAAGATTGCAGGTTCCCAAGTGTTCACTCTTCATACAAGCACTGGAATGATCTAAGTAAACCACATGCTTTCTTTGGTTTTAGCCCTTCCCAACTGCCTCCAACTTCCACATTTGCCTTGCTGGTCACCCTTGGGCTGAATCTCTCTTTAGGAAACCGAATCCTCCCTTTCCCAGAGCCCTGTTCCACACCAAGCCTCTGCTGCTACGCAGGGTTCAGCTCAAGCCTGCCCCCCCACTTATGACTACCCAGGTGCGGTCCCTGTTCCCCACAGCTGCCCAAGGTGGCCCTACAGTCTTCCCTCTGACGTTGGTTGCTCAGTCCTGCTTCCCATTTCCAAGGGGTGCATCAAATCAACCCCATTATATTAGTATCATCATTTTCATTTTCTTGATTTTTTTTTGTAGAGACGGGGTCTTACTATGTTGCCTAGGCTGGTCTTGAACTCCTGGCCTCAAGAGATCCTTGCTTTGGCCTCCCAAAGTGCTGGAATTACAGGCGTGAGCCACCATGCCTGGCCTGTATCATTATTTCTTGAACAAATGAAGTCTACTCTACATGACTAAGTGTACATAGAGTCTTTTATTAACAACCAAAAAATGAATTGACCTTGCAATTAATTAAGCACATCACCATGAATATAATAAAAAACTATGCATTTCAAACACTGGTATGATTTTATTTATTTGTTGAGTCAAGGTCTCCCTCTGTCGCCCACACTGGGGTACAGTGGCAAAAATCTGGCTCATTGCATCCTCCAACTCCTGGGCTCAAGCCATCCTCACTGCTCAGCCTCCCAAGTAGCTGGGACTACAGTCGTGTGCCACCATGGCTGGACAATTTTTTTTTATTTTTTGTAGAGATGAGGTCTCACCATGTTGCCCAGGCTGGTCTTGAACTCGGGCTCAAGCAATCCTCCCATCTTGGCCTCCCAAGGTGTGGAATTATAGGTGTAAGCCTCCCATACCTGGCACTGCTGAGATTTTAAGTTTTTACTTCAAGGTTTTAAAACAACAGTGGGTACCTATGAATGGCATTCAAGACAAAGATTTTAATTTCAGAAGAAAGCATGATTTTAGCAGCTTTTTTTTTTCTGAGTTGGAGTCTCCCTCTGTCACCCAGGCTGGAGTACAGTGGCACGCTCACGGCCACCACAGCCTTGACTTGCTGGGCTCTGGCAATCCTTCCACCTCAGCCTACCAAGCAGCTGGAACTACAGGCATGTACCACCACACCCAGCTAATTTTTTTATTTATTGTAGAGACGAGGTCTTGCCAAGTTGCCCAGGTTGGTCTCGTACCCCTGGACTCAGGCCATCTTCTCACCTCTGCCTCCCAAAGTGCTGGGAGGACAGGCATGAGCCACCACACCTGGTTGATTTTCGTAGCTTTTAACCGGTACAAAAAGAATGAAGGAGAGTAGGTGACGGGTCACAAGCCCCAGATGAATAAGTCCTACATACTTCAAGCAACAGGCAACACCCAGCTAATTCACATGCTCACTCTGGTCTGAATACCTCTTTTGGGGGCCAACAGAGCAACAAGAAAAGCGTGGGCATGTTCAGGACAAAGCCACACGCAACTGAGCATGAGAAGATTCATGGGGCCCCCGATCACACATCATCAACACACCTCTTTCACAGAGTACCCTTTCTCTCGGAACTGCCAACATCTCTTTCCCATCCTCCCTTTCTGCGGGTGACCTTGTTTCCTGTATCACTCAGAAAGTAAGAGCCATCAAAAGAGCACTTAACCACGGCAAGCTCTTACCTCCACTCACCTGCCTGCATCTGCGCCCACACTTTCGTCTTCCCACTCAGGACGACAAACGAGCTGGCAGTGTTCCCATCTGAACCACCCGCTCGCCTCTCGCCCACCTAAGTGCGTTGCTTCCGCCCTTCTTTCTGCTCTGTTGCATTCTAAAATCACCCTTCTCTGCTGGGTCCTTCTGAACATCAGCATACAAACGGGCTGGATTTCCTTTCTCTTTTCTTTTGAGTCAGAATCTCACTCTGTCATGCAGTGGCACGATCACGGCTCACTACGGCCTCGACCTAATAGGCTCAGGAGATCCTTCTGCCTCAGTCTACTGAGAAGCTGGGGCTATAGGTGTGTGCCACCACACCCGGCATTTTTTTTTGTTTTTTGTAGAGACGAGGTCTTGCTATGTTGCCTAGGCTGGTCTGGAACTCCTCCCGCCTCAGTCTCCCATAGTGCTGAGGTTACAGGCACGAGCTATCACGCCAGGCATGGATTTTCTTCTATTTTAACGAACACATGAAAAGAAAATAAAACCAAACCTCACCCCATATCTCGCTCAGGCTGTTGGACCATTTTTCTCTCTAGCAAAACTCCTTGGAAGAGCTGTCTCTATGTTGTCTCCACCTCCTCTGTCCCTGGCCACCTGGCCGATTTTCCTTCCCTACTCCTCCTTATTTCCTGCCAGCCACAATATCCTGGTTCTTGAAAATGCCAAGATCTCGGTGGCTCAGCCTGTAATCCCAGCACTTTGGGAGGCCGAGGTGAGTGGACCGTCTGAGCCTGCGGGTTCAAGACCAGCCCAGGCAACTTAGCAAGACCTCAACTCTACAATAAATCAAAAATTAGCTGGATGTGGTAGCATGTGCCCGTAGTTCCGGCTACTCGGAAGGCTGAGGCAGAAGGATCACCAGAGCCCAGCAGGTCAAGGCTGGGGTGGCTGTGAGCGTGCCACTGCACTCTAGCCTGGGCGACAGAGTGAGACTCCAACTCAAAAAAAAAGAAGAAGAAAAAAAAGAAAATGCCAAGAGCAGCCAGGCACCGTGGCTTATGCCTGTAATCCCAACACTCTGGGAGGCTGAGGCGAGAGGATGGCCCGAGTCCAGGGATTCAAGACCAGCCTGGGCAACTTGGCGAGACCTCACCTCTACAATAAACCAAAAAATCAGCCGGGGATGGTGATGCATGCTGCAGTTCCAGCTACTTGTAAGGTTGAGGAGGAAGGATCACCAGAGCCCAGCAGGTGGAGGCTGTGGTGGCCATGAGCATGCCACTTGCACTTCAGCCTGGGAGACAGAGTGAGATTCTGACTCAAAAAAAAAAGAAAAAAGAAAAGGTCAAGATCACCTCACGGTCTTTAACACTCACTATTCTTTGCCTGACACATTCTCTCCTGGACCTTCTCACGGCTGTCTTACTCACTCCACTTTGGTCGGGTGTTCAAGGTCACATCTCAGCGGTGCTTTCCCTAAACTCCTTTCACGTGCCCCTACCCCTCCCCGGCCCTAGCTACACCCTCTACCCCTGCCTGCTCTACCTTTCTCCGTGGTAGTTATAGCTATCATCATATCATGTACTTACATATTTCATTTCTGTTGTTTATTGTCTGTCCCTCCAACGCCCCCATTAGAATGTAAGCTCCACAAATGCAGGGATTTTTGTCTGTTTTGTTCACAGTATCCCCAGGACTTAGAATAGTGACAGAAACAATGCCTGGCACGTGGGAGGCACTTAATACATATTTATTGAATAAAAGCCCACTGGCTTACCACTCACTGCTGTAATGCTGGTATATTACAGTGTCAATAACTTTAAAAGCCTGGGTGCAGTGGTTCGTGCCTGTAATCCCAGCATTTTGGGAGGCTGAGGCGGGAGAATCATTTAAGCCCAGGAGTTTGAGATCAGCCTGGGTAATATAGCAAGACCCCATCTCAAAAAAAAAAGCCAGGCATGGCAGTGCATGCCTGCAGTCCCAGCTACTTGGGAGGCTGAGGCAGGAGGTTGTTTGAGCCTAGGAAGTCGAGGCTGTGGTGAACCATGATTGTGCCACTATACTCTAGTCTGGGAGACAGAGTGAAGCCCTGGTATGACTGCATGTGTAAATGAAAAATTTATATGTTGAAACTCTGATCCTAAGTAGGGTGATAATAGGTTGTGGGGCCTTTGGGAGATAATTAGGTCATGAGAATGGAGCCCTCATGAATGGATTAATACCTTTAAAAAAAGACACCAGGTCTGACAGAGGCTTAACATCCTGGATCTACAAGGAACTCAACGTGCTGAAAAGAAAAAAACAACCCCATTATAAAATGGGCAAAAGATATGAACAGACACTTCTCAAAGGAAGACATCCGAGCAGCCAACAGACACATGAAGAAATGTTCAACCTCACTAATCATCAGGGAGATGCAAATCAAAACCACACTGAGATACCACCTAACTCCAGTCACGATGGCAATTATCAACAACTCAAAAAATAACAGCTGCTGGAGAGGTTGTGGCGAAAAGGGAACACTTCTACACTGTTGGTG